GCAAGCAGCACGTGAAGGAGACCAAGGTGCGGCGGCCCGGCCGGGCCGGGGGCTGACGGAGGGGGCCGTTACCTGCTAGAGCTCTAGGCCGGGAGGGGAGGCGTGCGCGGCGCTGCCCGGAATGGTGCTACTGCAGTGGGCCGAGGTGGGAGGACCAGCCTCAGTGGAGGGGACGCTCCGGTGCAAAGTCATTGCACTAGCCCTGGGCCACCGGGCCCCGGACTTCCCCACGCGGAGGGACTTCCAAGCCATGCTATGGTGTGGTGTCGGCCTCAAGGTTATGTACGTGGACCCGCTACGGTGGGGAAACCCCCCGGGCTCTGAGGCGCTCTGGGCATTACACTAGTGCGGCGTTTTGCTGACCCCCGACGAGCTACATACTGCATTGTGCATCGGGAAAGGAGGGCCGTGCGGGGTCGCTGCAGGGAGGGATTATGGGCATCCCAAAACCGAGATAGAGGTGAAAATCTCGGGCGACGCAAAAACGCAAGAAGTTCACTAGAACACAGAATGCGTTATTATGGGTGAAGAAACCCAACCCTTTTCTGTTTTACCTTGTAGCCTCGTTTTAATTGCTGCAGGAAACTTTATGAGTAAAATCACTAACAATCAGAGCGGCGATATTAATAGTACTGGGGGAGGGGGATGTGACAGCTGCGACTGGGGTTGATGACTCCTAAGTGCAGTTGGACTTCTTGAAAAAGAAAATACCTAAGAACCATGGATGGAAGAAGGCCACCCATTTGGAAAACCGATCGGTTTTTTTTTTGACCGGAGGCTGTGAAGCAAACATCAGACTCCCATGTGGTGTTGGGGTGAGACTGGTAAATATTGCAGTTTTACCAAACCAAGGGGTTTATCATGAGAAACCTGAAACCTTGAACCAAGGTTGGTGTGGTAGCTTTTCATGTCTTGTTTTCCTGAGTGTGAATTACTATCAGAGATTCACATGCATGCACAGCCCACTATCTTTCACCCCTTCATCTCCTCCTCCTCCTCTTCAAGAAAACATTTCTAAGCAGGAATCAGGCCTGGGTCACTTTAGCTGCCAGGACCGAGAGGTCTCATCTCAGGGGAAGGTACTTCAGAAGTTAATCTGAGTTTCTCACACACAGGGAGACAAAGGCTCCAGGAGTAGGGCTTCGTGCCACACTACAGGAGGGAGTCTGTGATGAGGGCTTGGGCTGGGCAACAGGCCCCACTCCCAGGAAGAGCCTGTGATCCACTTCCTAGTGGCAGAAGTGACTACCGATGGCAGCAGGGTCTTTTTCCTCGCTGGTGTGCATGTAGCCACAAAACACAGAAATCTGCACACAGGACCCCTGGCTTCCCCTCAGAGAAATGCAAATCAGGCAGTAGCTTCTCTGACTTGAAGAGAAAATTATAAGTTCGTGTGCAGTAGTATATGGAAAATATTACTTTTTAGAGCAGAGTACTAGTTAAAAATTACCACCAGTATTGTTATTTTGGGAAGAGAAGATTTTTGCACTACATACTGTTTGTTCATTGTATTCCTAGCAAACGGTTGCTAGTGTCTTTCTATGGGTTGTTTGTTTGTTTGTTTCAAAATAATGTTTGCCCTAATCATCATCTTTAGAGGTTTGTGACTTCTGGAATGCAACTCATTTGACTCTGTCATGGCCTCCCGCCCTGGGACTCTGGGAGGCTGGCCCAGCTCACTACCAGGAGCTGCCATGTTTATCAGTTGTTCCTGCTCATCTTGACTTTGGTGGTTAACTTTGTTTACAGTTCTGCTCCCTCTGCCTCCCCCCACCGTGTGTAATTATACAAAGTTTGGCTAGCCAGTGCTCAAAAATACCTATTTTGGAGTTAAATAGGAAGTAACTTTGAGGCACCGGCTTGGGTATGTTTTGAAGCTGCCCTCTTGTGACTTGCTTTGAATTTGTTGAAATTCATTGTGCCTCCAGTGATGGTGTTTTCTTTTGCCATTGCGGTTTCTGGGCTTAGCAAAAGCTAAGGGGCGTGGAATACTAGGAAGTGGTGGCATGTAGTGTCCATTTATGGATGGCAGGACCCAGTTTTTCTTTTAGGCTTTTTGAGAGTAGGTTTGTTTCGGGCGGAAGTTCATACCTAGTAGGTAAGCTCTTTGTCACCATGAGCCATAGGCACAGATGGCCCTGGTCAGCCGAACGGCTCCTGCTTTGCTCCTGGCCACTGTCTAGGGTGGTAGGGTGGGTCCTGGGACCTTGAGGGACTCCTTATAGATCCATCGAGGTGTCAGCGTACTGAAAGACAATTAGACCGAGACAGAGCGTTTCGGTTCTGATTTGTATGCCATCACTAATCTCGTTATGAGCTTGGAAAACCCAGTTATTGGCAGAATAATATAGTGACAGTTTTGGGAAACTTCTTTCTTTTTAAAGCTGCCACCTATTGGAATTTTTTTAATAGTGTCCCTTTAATGTGGAGTAGTAGTCTGTGGAGTATTTTTGTAGTTTTCATGTTAATTTAGTGGTCATTGAGTAAAGGCTTAATATTAGTCTCTTAATTTAAGTTTTTAATGAACAGTTTCAGCGAAGAGGCTGGCCAGCAAGTCCTATCTCCTGGCCACTGCCATGAATTTTGTCAACAGAAATTAAGTCGTTTTTCCTTGAAACTGGGATTTATGGTCCAGTTCCTGAGGCTTTCAGCAGCCAAAGTTAAGCTTCTTTAAGACTTAAAAGAAGCCGCAGCTTGTGTTCCTACCTTTCCTCATTCTCCTGACCCCTTCGGCATGGTGGCTGATTTATCCACTTGAAACTCTGCATCTCGCCATAGATCTCCTCTGCGGAGACGTGCCCCTTCCCCATCAGTAGTCATCCTTTGGGTGAATTTTCGGAATAAAGCCAAGTGCCAACGGCCTCTTCGCCTTCTCGAGCACTGGCTGGGCATGGCGGGTCTTTCTGGTCTTCCCCTGCCGTGGTCGGGCAGAATGGCCCCTGTCGGGAGGAGAGCAGACTGCCATCTGTCAGTCCAAGCATGGGTCTTCCTGTTCTTGCTTTAGTTTTTCTATCTCTTGTGTGTTGTCTTTTGCTTTAAGTTGCCACAACATTCTCGGCTGGTTTGAGGTTTAACGTCTCTAAGCTAAACCTGTGTCTGTGATCGCCCTGCTTTTGTGAGGCGGTGTGTTTGTGTCGCATCTTTGATGACAGGTCCCTTGGGAATTGGCTTTTTGGTTTATTTTTGGCTCCTACTCAGGCCAGCATTTCCACGGGGAAAGCTATTTAGATGTAGCATCGCAGCATATGAAGTTTGCTTGCCTCACCTGTCCAGGTACTAGACCCATTAAAAGCAATTTTTCTTAGTGATGTAACAGGAAGAGGTTATGTAAGGTTAACCAAGATGCAGGACTAAGTGCATGTAATTGTATTTCATTCGGGTAGGATCACAGCGCTGTAGACTCTCACCGCTGTTCTGTGATTTTATCCTTCGTCCTTTGGTCCCCCCCTTCTGGCTCCTGGGACTCGATGCCTTGACGGTGCCTCTGTGTGGCTCGCTGCCTGACTCCAGGGCACTGTCTTTGCCTCCTGTGATTGGAAGTCAAAACCCTTGGGAGCTCTTCCTTGGTTGTCACCTACTCCGAATGACCTTGGCCTAGTCAGTGCCTCATTTTTTTTCTCTGCAATAAAATACAGGGTCTGTCTTCTTAGCCACTGAAGTGACCTGCACAGGTGGAATAACCAGAAGTGTAAGCGGGTGGTGCCTAAGGTGGCCGCTTGGCTATGAGCAGACACTGTCCTGATGCCCATCAGACAGAACCGGCCCCATCCCTTCCGCCAGTCATCTGCATGTGTCACAGGGTGGTGCTACACCAAAGAGACACTTTGGAAAGCAAAAAGGTGCATGGAGGGGTATTGGAGTTTCTGATTGATCATGTTGTTGCTCGTGACCTGGTGGATTACAGATTCGACTTCTCTGTTACGCCTCTTTTATAAATAATCATGAACTTCACTCCTCTGTTATGTTATGAGAAATTCAGCAACACACATTTGAAGTAACACCTGCCAAAGTCCACCAACCTCCAGGAGGGGGATGGAATGAATGTACATGTATGTGTATTTTCCGGAATCTAGAAGACATCTTTTGAAATTCCCAAAAGACGGATAGTGAGATCATGAATTACAAGGGTGGTAGAGTATTGCTTTTGTGTTTTAAGATAATATGAAGAACAAATATTATATAGTACTGCCATGTGCCAGGCATTCTAAGTGCTTTATGTGTATTACTTAATGCAACAACCCTATGAATTAGGTACTATTATTATTATCCCCATATTTCAGAGGAGGAAACCAAGGAACAGAGAGATTAAGTAACTTGCCCAGTGTCACACTGCGTAAGTGGAGGAACCTGAATACAAATCGAAGTAAATATAGCTTGCCCTCACCTGAGAATGTTTTTAAGTTCAGGATTTATAGGTCATTACTATATCCAAGTACCCTGATCAAACATGAGTCACAAACCCTGTGGTTGGCATGAATCATTCAGTCTTTAAACACTTGAAAATCTTAGTGCAGTAGGAGTAACCACAGGTGAGGGAGGAAGGAGCCGGGTGTCGGGACGGGCGGGCGGAGGGTGTACCAGTGACCTGGAGCGTAGCAGGGTGCGCCTGCGAGCTATAGGACAGAAACACCGTGTCTGCACTTGTGCTGTGCTTCCGTCCTACATTTTTCATACCCTGGCCCCTCCGTCATCCTCAAAATGACTGTCAGTATCTTTTATTTCTTGGGAACCTGCGAACGCCCCTAGACATTGAATGAAGGCAACCTCTAAGTCTGACTCATCCCATCGCTGGTTTATTCCCACTTCCACCTCCAGGAGCAGAAAAGTCTGGGAAACGGCACTGCCGCGTCGTCTTGGAAGTGGCCAGTGTTAGGAAATCCACCGTGACCTCTTGCCTCCCAAGACCTCCTGTCCCCCGTCTCGCTGCTCTTGTCACCCTTCTGGGAAGGCTGAGTCATGAGACAGGTTCAGAGGGCTCCTTGGAGAGGGGCTAGGTCTTGCTCAGTTCCAGGTCCTTTCCTTGTGG